GGGGGGTCCGAAAAATCAGAGGGCTTCCTGGAATCCCCAGAGGAGAGGACGGAAGGGATGTCATCCAGAAATAACGGTCTGGCATCGTCGGGGGGCAGAGCCCGGGAGAGGTCGCCCGGCCGCACCCCCGTCCCGGCCCCCGTTTCCTCTCGACGCCTCCTGAAGGGGCCTTTGTGCATTGAACCACCTGTATCCTGCCCGAGTGGGCCCTTTGCTGCCAAAAACGGGACGTCACCCCCGTGCCAGGACAGGCGATGCCCCGTGGCCCGAGGAAAGGAGGCCCAGACCGCGGCCGCCTCGAAGGAAAGCGGCTGCACGGGAGACGCCGGGGGCCTCACCGCCGCCCTGGGACCCTGCGCCAGGCTCTCGTGTGTGACGCCAGCCGCTGACGTGCACGGATCTTCAGGCCGTACGCGCCCCCAGATGTCCCCGCGTCTGTGCCCCGTCACGGCCTCGTCGGGAGCCCCGCTGAGGGCGGCCCCCCGACGCAGCGGCCTTATTTGGTCACAGTTCCCTCTGTTGCTGACTCACGCGTGGAAAATGTCTTCTCATCCTGCTGATCGCCCTCGGAACCCTCTCCGACACCCCCCCAGCCTCCGGTCACGTGTCAGGAGGTGATTCCCATGCCGCCCCCGTGCCATGGCTCTGACGAGGGCATCGCTGACACGTGACTGACTGTCTGGGGCTTCCTCTCTAGTTGGCGGAGGCGTGCAGGGTCTGCCCCACCGTCTCGCTGCCCTCCGGCCACTGCGACTTCAGCCCTGAGCTCTGTCACCCTGTAGCCGGGAGCAGTGGGGTGGCGGTGTGTGGTCACGATGGTTTCTATAACATGAGGACGTGGGGCTCGAACCCCTGTCCTGAGTACAGTGGTTCATTCGTTCATTCATTCGTTCATTCATTATTTCCAACCAGTGCCTGTGGCACCGTGTCCAGTGATGGGCGAGGGTCACACTTGAATGGGTGATGGGTTCTGGCAGCTCATCCTTTTGAAGCAATGTGATGCTAACTCCAGCAGGTAAGATCAAAAAGCTCTGGAGCTGGATGGAGGAAGGGGGAGGTGATAGGAAGGCTTCTTGCTGGAGGGGTCATTGAAAGGGGCGTTGAAGCATACATAGGAGTTCTCCAGGGGCACCAATTGGGGGATGGGCAGTAGGCCGAAGGAGACCCTGCGTCCCTCTTTCTGTTCTCCCCTTCAGAGACCTCCTCTGGCTGCAGGTTGCCACACCTGTCTCTGAGGGGACGGCTCGGTGGGACCCGTTGGAGCTGGGCGTCCAGATGGACCTACGACTCTGGTTCTCTGAGGGTCACTCCCAAGTCTGGTCTTACTGTTGCCTCAGAGTCACTGTGTCCAAAACCCAGCTCATGCCGACTGTGTTAGGAGAACCAACCAGCCAACAAACAGAAAGTGACATGGGGCCGGCCCGGTGGCACAGTGGTTAAGTGTGCACATTCAGCTTCAGTGGCCCGGGGTTCGCTGGTTTGGATCCCGGGTGTGGACATGGCACTACTTGGCAAGCCATGCTGTGTCAGGCGTCCCACATATAAAGTAGAGGAAGATGGGCACGGATGTGAGCTCAGGGCCAGTCTTCCTCAGCAAAAAGAGGAGGATGGGCAGCAGTTAGCTCAGGGCTAATCTTCCTCAAAAAAAAAAAAAAAAAAAAAGACCCCACTGATCATTTACACCTGTATTATTGAAAACCAACGTGTAAACATATGGTAACCCGTTTCCAGCGTGGCGTCGTCCATCCCTCTCTCCTGGCAGTCTGAGACGGGATTGCGGGATGCCGCGGGATCCACGGACACGGTGGGGCCGTTCTCAGGGGCGACCAGCCGGCCCTTTGTCCCGGGATCGGCAGATTGGTGGGGTGTCGGCTTGGAAGGGAGTCCCGGAGCGATCTGGTCCCGGGAAACGCTGGGTTTTCGATGGCACCCCGACGGGCGATGGGGGGACTAGGGCCCGGATCATTTTCTAGGACGAGAGTGTCTGTCGTGAGGCGGTTCCTGGCCTGCCTCCCCTGGCTGGGTTTTGCCCCACGTGCACGATGGTTTCACTGCTGAAACCCATTGTTGTTCACCGATTCCGGACGGGGCCGCCGAGGACCCCCGGGTTGGGTTTGGAGCAGAGCCGATGGCGTCCTGAGGAGGAGCGTCTCCCACGTCCAGCCTGAGGGAAGCTCGCCGTGGCCGGGCTGACGTGCCGGGTGAGGACGGACGGAGACGGGGCCCCGTGGGGGCCGTGCTCGGGGGCATCGTGGCCTGGATACAAGTCTTTTGGACGTGGCCTTAGTTTCCGTTCTTGGGCGTCCTGACTTTGGGGGGCTTGATACCAGGTCCTTTCCCGAGGAGCCTGTGTCTTCCCGGGCGTGCGGTGCGCAGAGGGTGTCACGTCTGGGATCCGTTGTTTGTTTAGGGCGGTTTGGGTGGTAGTGGTGTCTACACGGCGGGAAACAAATGCTTTATTTTTATTACGACACGATGGTTCCTTCCAATTTATTTGTGTTGTACGAAATTTCTGGCACCGAGACGGGAGATGAAGAAATTCTACCCCCATCCTCAGTCCTCCGAGCTTTTAAAATGCTTTCTCGGAGCCGGCCTGGTGGTGCAGTGGTTAAGTTCACACGTTGTGCTTTGGTGGCCTGGGGTTCGCCAGTTCAGATCCCGGGTGTGGACATGGCACTGCTTATCAAGCCATGCTGTGGTTGGCGTCCCACATATAAAGTGGAGGAAGGTGGGCATGGATGTTAGCTCAGGGCCAGTCTTCCTCAGCAAAAAAAAAAGAGAAGGATTGGCAGCAGATGTTAGCTCAGGGCTAATCTTCCTCAAAAAAAAAAGTGTCTGTTGAGTGTTTACTGTAAGTTGGCGCCTGGCTAATGACCGGAGACTTCGCAGTGAATGCGGCTTCTGTCGTAGGGAGGGGAACAGACGATAATCAAGATAAACAAGCAAAACGTGTAGGGTACAGAGTGCACGTGCTGAGGAGAGCGATGACGCGGAGGAGGAGCTGGGGTGCTGGCGACGTGGGGAAAGGTCCCTGCACCCAGAAGGTGACGTTTGACAGAGACCAGAGGAAGTCAAGGGAGCAAGTGTCGGGACACTGGGAACAGTGTTCTGGCAGAGGGAACAGCAAGAGCACAGGGAGGCGCGTGCAGTGTCCATGAAACAGCAAAGAGCCGGTGTGTCTGGAGGGCGATGAGCTCAGAGGGCTGTGGCCTCAGCTGCCGACAGGAGGATGTGTGTTTTGCTGGGTTGGAGGCCGTCAGATATTGCACACGGCCGACACGGTGCCACCCCTGTTTCTAATACCTTTGTTGTTTCCCTTCTGAAATTCTAGATTTTAAATAATGTGCTAACTCCCTAATTTACAGTTCCGTTAACTGTTAGCTGTGGTCTTCGATCCCCATTTGTAAGAGATAGATCTTCGCACATCTGTCCGTTAGGTCCTCTCCAAAATTCTGCTGCCCCTCTGTTTCCAGAACTTTTCGTTTCGTATCACCTAGGGAGCCGGGTCCGTGTGTGTGTGTGTGTGTACATGTCTGTGTGTGTGTACAGAAGCATTAGAGCAGGTGAAGAGCTGTGAACAGTGGTCCTCAGCTCCCTGGAGGGTGCAGGCAGTGCTGGCAGGTGGGGCACCTTCTGCAGGTCCCAGCTCCAGGCAGGTGGCCTCTGACCAGCCCCCACCCGCCCCCCAGGACACATCCGATCATTAAAGTCTCACAAAGTCAACACACATCGCGTTGAACCTTTGATTTGCTTTATATTTTCCCTTTTTTTTTTTTAAAGGTAAGATATATATTTTTATGAAGGAAAAGCAAAACATCAGCCATGTTTCCCAGGATGTGACAGGCAGCCAGTACTTGCAGAATGAGTACATGGAACTATGTATATTGGTTTTGGGGGGGCGATGGCGTCTGGATTTTCTTTTTCCTGTGGGTTCTCTGTGGAAGATGCCCCACTCCCCATGAGAATGGCAGAGTCCCGTCTGGGGCCTTTTAAAATCTCTTCTTTAGAGAGTACAAACCTTCTGCAGGGAAGAATTGCCTCCAGGAGTCATTTACACTGTAGTATGAATTAGGACAGCATCCTTGTTCCCTCGGGGTTCACGGGATACCCGGAAAGCTTGGAATAAGAGGTAGAGGGGAAGGGGTGCTTCCTGAGGTAGGGCAGCACCCCGGAAGGCAAGGTCAGCACTGGGTCAGGGACAGGACTCAGTTTCCTGACTTGCTGTTTTTGCTGGGTGACTCGTGGGTAACATCGAATGACAGCTTCTTGCCCCGGGTTGGCTAAGGAGATTGCCGGGCGGTGTCCTGGGGGAGGTGGCCCTTGGCAAATGATGGGGCAGAGGCCTCGCCCTGGGCGTGTGGGGACACAGACGAGGGTCCGTTTGCCAGGTGCCCCTGCTCCGCCCCGTGCCTCCCCTGCAGCGACCCGGGGGGTCATGAGATTGCTCCTGGGGCCGGGGGAGTGGGGACCTGTTGTTCACGGGGGGGGGCCCTTTGCACTTTTTGAATTCTGTGCCCTCTGCACGGATACACCATCTGAAAAAGCAATTCGATAATGGAGAGAGGGAAGAAAAGAGAAGTTTGTGTCCCTTTGATGCACCCACCGGCCTTTTCCTGACGTCTACCATCCGGGGACCGGCTGAGCAGGACAAAGGCCCTCCGGCCCTCGAGGGCCAGTGGCCGGTGCCGGCCTCGGACCCTGGGGCCTCGGACCTGCGGGGCCGACTTCTGGGGTGGGGAACCAGGAAAGGTCCCCTGGATCGTGAATGACCAGGAGCCCCCGGGGCCAGGGCCCTGTGGCCCGCAGAGCTGTCCGCTGGGGGTGGGCTGGAAGCCCTTGGAGTCCAGGGGGAAGGGGCCGAGTGCGCGGGGGCTGCAGGCAGGGGGCGAGGCTGCCCACCCGGCCTGGACGGGGCCTCCCAGGGGAGCCCGGGAGGGGAGGGGTCGCGCCCTGCGCCGGGACAGCGCGGGCTCTCACCTCGTGTCCCGCGTCTCCCGCAGGAAGAAAACAGACAGATTCTGGCCCAGCAGAAGGCGGCCTCGCAGTCCGACTCGCACGATGAGGAGGTCTCGCCGAGCCCCCCGAACCCCGTGGTGAAGTCCCGCCGCCGCCGCGGGGGCGTGAGCGCCGAGGTGTACACGGAGGAGGACGCCGTGTCCTACGTGCGCAAGGTGGGCCCGCCCGGACCGCGCCCCGGACCCCTCACCCGGGACCCCCGCCCAAGCCTCACCTCGGACCCCGCCCGGACCCCACCCCGGACCCCGTCCCAGGCCTCGCCTCGGACCCCGCCCCGGGACCCCCCCCCGGACCCGTCCCAGGCCTCGCCCCGGACCCCGCCCGGGACCCCCGCCCCGGACCCGTCCCAGGCCTCACCGCGGACCCCGCCCTGGACCCCTCGCCCCGATCCCCGCCCCAGGCCTCACCTCGGACCCCGCCCTGGGACCCCCAGCCCGGACCCCGTCCCAGGCCTCACCTCGGACCCCGCCCTGGGACCCCCACCCCGGACCCCGTCCCAGGCCTCACCTCGGACCCCGCCCCGGGACCCCCACCCCGACCCCGTCCCAGGCCTCGCCTCGGACCCCGCCCCGGGACCCCCGCCCCGGACCCCGTCCCAGGCCTCACCGCGGACCCGCCCTGGACCCCTCGCCCCGATCCCCGCCCCAGGCCTCACCTCGGACCCCGCCCTGGGACCCCCAGCCCGGACCCCGTCCCAGGCCTCACCTCGGACCCCGCCCCGGGACCCCCAGCCCGAACCCCGTCCCAGGCCTCACCTCGGACCCGCCCCGGGCCCCCCACCCCTGGACCCCGCCCCGGGACCCCCACCCCGGACCCAGTCCCAGGCCTCACCTCGGACCCGCCCCGGGCCCCCCCACCCCCGGACCCGCCCCGGACCCCCAGCCCGGACCCCGTCCCAGGCCTCACCTCGGACCCCGCCCCGGGACCCCCACCCCGGACCCAGTCCAGGCCTCACCTCGGACCCCGCCCCGGGACCCCCACCCCGGACCTAGCCCCAGGCCTCACCTCGGACCCCGCCCCGGGACCCCCACCCCGGACCCGGTCCCAGGCCTCACCTCGGACCCCGCCCTGGACCCCCACCCCTGACCAGCCCCAGGCCTCACCTCGGACCCCGCCCCGGACCCCCACCCCGGACCCAGTCCCAGGCCTCACCTCGGACCCCGCCCCGGGCCCCCCACCCCTGGACCCCGCCCCGGGACCCCCAGCCCGGACCCCGTCCCAGGCCTCACCTCGGACCCCGCCCCGGGACCCCCACCCCGGACCCAGTCCCAGGCCTCACCTCGGACCCCGCCCCGGGACCCCCACCCCGGACCTAGCCCCAGGCCTCACCTCGGACCCGCCCCGGACCCCCCCGACCCCGGACGGTCCCAGGCCTCACCTCGGACCCCGCCCTGGACCCCCACCCCTGACCCAGCCCCAGGCCTCACCTCGGACCCGCCCCGGGACCCCACCCCGGACCCAGTCCCAGGCCTCACCTCGGACCCCACCCCGGGACCCCCACCCCTGGACCCGCCCCGGGACCCCCACCCCGGACCCAGTCCCAGGCCTCACCTCGGACCCCGCCCCGGGCCCCCCCACCCTGGACCCCGCCCAGACCCGCGCCCTGGAGCCCCGCCTTCCTTCTGGTCACAGGGGCGGGGAGGTGTCCCGGCCGTCCTGGCCCACCTGAGCACGTGTCTGTCTGAGGACCCTCGGGAGGGCCCCCACGAGGCCGTGTCGGATCCCCAGGCTCAGGGAAGGGACGTGGCGCTCAGATCTGGGTGTCACCGAGGAGCCCGTGTCCCTGGCCGATGGTGCCCGTCTCCGGGGCTCCGCCCGTCCAGGCTGGACCCCGCCTCGGAGCCCCCGACCCTCCACATGTTACTCCGACCTCCAGCTGTGCCCCCCCAACCCCCAGGAGGTGCCTCCGTCTGGACCGCGTCTCCGGCTTGTGCACTTAGGGACCCTGCACCCCGCCCTCGTGTGTGGGGCCTGCCATTTCCTTCTTATGCATTGCTAGACTCAGGTTTTTTCTTTCTGCATTTTCAGTTTTTGATCAATCTTAAGTTTTTTAAAAAATTATGGCAAAATGGGTGTGACGTAAATTTCACCATCTGTATAAGTTGCTCCGGCTGCCGTGACAGCCAGCGTACCCAGCCTGGGCGGCTCAAGCAACACGTTTGTTCTCTCACGGTCTGCGGGCTGGACGTGCAAGGTCAAGGGTCCCCCTGGTGGGGACCCTCGTCCCGGCTGGCAGACGGCCGCCGCTCTCTGTGTCCTCACGTGGGAGGAAAGAGACAGAGCTCCCTGGGGTCCCTCTCATCGGGGCACCAACCCCGTCCTGGGGACCCACCCTCATGACCTGTGGAACCCTAATCATTTCCCAAGGGCCCACTTCTGAACATGGTGGTGCTGGGGGGGAGGGTTTCAACACGTGAATTCGGGGGACAGTTCAGTGCCTAGCACCCCCTCAGTCATCGCCAGCCTGCCGCTCAGGGACATTAAGCCCATTCCATGGTTGTGCAGCCATGCCCACTGTCCGTCTCCAGAACTCTTCATTTTGTAGATCTGAGACTGTCTCCTGGTGAACAGCTCCACATCCCCTCCTCAGTACTTAATATTTTATAATTAGAGAATGAAAACTGGGAAAAAAGTGTTGTTTGAAATCTACTGGGTCCCTTCACTTCTGGTTTTTTTTTTCTTTTGAGGAAGATTAGCCCTGAGCTAACATCTGCCACCAATCCTCCTCTTTTTTTTTTGCTGAGGAAGACTGGCCCTGAGCTAATATCCGTGCCCATCTTCCTCTACTTTGTATGTGGGACGCCTGCCACAGCATGGCTTGTCAAGCGGTGCCATGTCCGCACCCGGGATCTGAACTGGCGAATCCTGGGCCGCCAAAGCAGAACGGATGAACTTAAGAACTGTCACAGCCCAGAGGGGTTCAGGGGAGGTGGCCGCTGCCCAAGACCTGGATGGGATCTGGGCAGAGCAGGCCACTGGGGACGGATGAGGACTCGTCGGGGAGTGTGGGCTTCCAAGGCTGGCTCCCTAGTTGTGACCCCGGGCCGGAGTACATAGCATGTTAACCATCCGGGAAACTGGCCGCAAGTACAGGCACCATCTTGGCAACTTCTCTGTAAATCTAAACTGTTCTAAAATGAAAAGCTTATTTTTTAAAACGTCCGTTGGAACCCAAGCGGCTTTTTAGGGGGCTTCAGGCCTGCCCCGGGGGGGGGGGGGGGGGGGGGGGCCCTTTGCACTTTTTGAATTCTGTGCCCTCTGCACGGATACACCATCTGAAAAAGCAATTCGATAATGGAGAGAGGGAAGAAAAGAGAAGTTTGTGTCCCTTTGATGCACCCACCGGCCTTTTCCTGACGTCTACCATCCGGGGACCGGGCTGAGCAGGACAAAGGCCCCTCCTGCCCTCGAGGGCCAGTGGCCGGTGCCGGCCTCGGACCCTGGGGCCTCGGACCTGCGGGGCCGACTTCTGGGGTGGGGAACCAGGAAAGGTCCCCTGGATCGTGAATGACCAGGAGCCCCCGGGGCCAGGGCCCTGTGGCCCGCAGAGCTGTCCGCTGGGGGGTGGGCTGGAAGCCCTTGGAGTCCAGGGGGAAGGGGCCGAGTGCGCGGGGGCTGCAGGCAGGGGGCGAGGCTGCCCACCCGGCCTGGACGGGGCCTCCCAGGGGAGCCCGGGAGGGGAGGGGTCGCGCCCCTGCGCCGGGACAGCGCGGGCTCTCACCTCGTGTCCCGCGTCTCCCGCAGGAAGAAAACAGACAGATTCTGGCCCAGCAGAAGGCGGCCTCGCAGTCCGACTCGCACGATGAGGAGGTCTCGCCGAGCCCCCCGAACCCCGTGGTGAAGTCCCGCCGCCGCCGCGGGGGCGTGAGCGCCGAGGTGTACACGGAGGAGGACGCCGTGTCCTACGTGCGCAAGGTGGGCCCGCCCGGACCGCGCCCCGGACCCCTCACCCGGGACCCCCGCCCCAAGCCTCACCTCGGACCCCGCCCCGGGACCCCCACCCCGGACCCGGTCCCAGGCCTCACCTCGGACCCCGCCCTGGGACCCCCACCCCTGACCCAGCCCCAGGCCTCACCTCGGACCCCGCCCCGGGACCCCCACCCCGGACCCAGTCCCAGGCCTCACCTCGGACCCCGCCCCGGGCCCCCCCACCCCTGGACCCCGCCCCAGACCCGCGCCCTGGAGCCCCGCCTTCCTTCTGGTCACAGGGGCGGTGGGAGGTGTCCCGGCCGTCCTGGCCCCACCTGAGCACGTGTCTGTCTGAGGACCCTCGGGAGGGGCCCCCACGAGGCCGTGTCGGGATCCCCCAGGCTCAGGGAAGGGACGTGGCGCTCAGATCTGGGGTGTCACCGAGGAGCCCGTGTCCCTGGCCGATGGTGCCCGTCTCCGGGGCTCCGCCCGTCCAGGCTGGACCCCCGCCTCGGAGCCCCCGACCCTCCACATGTTACTCCGACCTCCAGCTGTGCCCCCCCAACCCCCAGGAGGTGCCTCCGTCTGGACCGCGTCTCCGGCTTGTGCACTTAGGGGACCCTGCACCCCGCCCTCGTGTGTGGGGCCTGCCATTTCCTTCTTATGCATTGCTAGACTCAGGTTTTTTTCTTTCTGCATTTTCAGTTTTTGATCAATCTTAAGTTTTTTAAAAAAATTATGGCAAAATGGGTGTGACGTAAATTTCACCATCTGTATAAGTTGCTCCGGCTGCCGTGACAGCCAGCGTACCCAGCCTGGGCGGCTCAAGCAACACGTTTGTTCTCTCACGGTCTGCGGGCTGGACGTGCAAGGTCAAGGGTCCCCCTGGTGGGGACCCTCGTCCCGGCTGGCAGACGGCCGCCGCTCTCTGTGTCCTCACGTGGGGAGGAAAGAGACAGAGCTCCCTGGGGTCCCTCTCATCGGGGCACCAACCCCGTCCTGGGGACCCCACCCTCATGACCTGTGGAACCCTAATCATTTCCCAAGGGCCCCACTTCTGAACATGGTGGTGCTGGGGGGGAGGGTTTCAACACGTGAATTCGGGGGACAGTTCAGTGCCTAGCACCCCCTCAGTCATCGCCAGCCTGCCGCTCAGGGACATTAAGCCCATTCCCATGGTTGTGCAGCCATGCCCACTGTCCGTCTCCAGAACTCTTCATTTTGTAGATCTGAGACTGTCTCCTGGTGAACAGCTCCACATCCCCTCCTCAGTACTTAATATTTTTATAATTAGAGAATGAAAACTGGGAAAAAAGTGTTGTTTGAAATCTACTGGGTCCCTTCACTTCTGGTTTTTTTTTTCTTTTGAGGAAGATTAGCCCTGAGCTAACATCTGCCACCAATCCTCCTCTTTTTTTTTTTGCTGAGGAAGACTGGCCCTGAGCTAATATCCGTGCCCATCTTCCTCTACTTTGTATGTGGGACGCCTGCCACAGCATGGCTTGTCAAGCGGTGCCATGTCCGCACCCGGGATCTGAACTGGCGAATCCTGGGCCGCCAAAGCAGAACGGATGAACTTAAGAACTGTCACAGCCCAGAGGGGTTCAGGGGAGGTGGCCGCTGCCCAAGACCTGGATGGGATCTGGGCAGAGCAGGCCACTGGGGGACGGATGAGGACTCGTCGGGGAGTGTGGGCTTCCAAGGCTGGCTCCCTAGTTGTGACCCCCGGGCCGGAGTACATAGCATGTTAACCATCCGGGAAACTGGCCGCAAGTACAGGCACCATCTTGGCAACTTCTCTGTAAATCTAAACTGTTCTAAAATGAAAAGCTTATTTTTTAAAACGTCCGTTGGAACCCAAGCGGCTTTTTAGGGGGCTTCAGGCCTGCCCCTCGGGGATCTCTTTATAAAATAGGTCCCCAGGTGTTGGACGGGATCCGCAGGTGTGCGGGGGGCCTGACATCGCCTCCCCCCCCGCCTGGTGGAGGTTTCTGGGCCGCTGAGTGCAAAGTGGGGGTCGTGTGACTGCCCGGATGGGCTTCCCCACCATCTGTCTTATTTTAAGGGAGAAACCTGGCATCTGAGAGGCGAGTGTTTTCATCATTCGGTGCTTGATCCCTCGGACACACGCTGAGCGCTCCCGCCCGGCAGGTCCTGCGTTGACCGCGAGTGAGAGAAGCCTTTCTCACTCCTGGTTGTCCGTAGTTTGGAGGGTCCGGATCCCTCCCCAGCCTGACAAGGGTCCACCCCCCCTGCAAGGGTGGAGGTCAGCCTTGGGGGTGGCTCCAAGCTTTTTTTTTTTTTTTTTTTTTGCGGTTTCCCAATTTTTAAACAAGTATTTATTACCTTAAATAAAAAGCCAGTGAACTAAAGATATAAACACAAGACATAACAACCCAGGGGACTGGAGATTTTCCAGAATCTTCCAGCATGTTCTAGGAGGCTCGGAAGCCCACCAGAGCCAGTCCACCAAGACCCCAAGCTCTAGACGGAACTTAGGCCACCTCTCTGATCGTTCTGGATTCCTTGTCTTTTCTTTCTTTCTTTTATTTTTTCAATTTTAAAAGATTGTGGCATACACATCACGTTCCAAGTTGTCCATCTTTACCACCAGCCGGCAACAAAGTGGCAGGTCGAACAGATTGATTTCGAGCCACGCTGCAACATCTCAGGGTCAAGCGGGGGCCCGGAAAGGCCCGGGCTGCGCCCCCGGGAACACCGGGAGCCTGACTTTGGTTGGCTTCCCCCACAGGTCATCCCCAAGGACTATAAGACCATGACAGCGCTGGCCAGGGCCATCTCCAAGAACGTGCTGTTTGCTCACCTGGACGACAACGAGAGAAGGTAGGAGCCGGGACGGGGCCGGGGGGCCCTCAGTCCCTCCTGGGGCTTCGCTGGTCAAGGGCCGTGAGTCACGGTGACGGCCAGCTCGAGGGGACGCGTGGGCGTGCAGAGCTGCGGGCGCCCGGGCTGATCCCCTCAAACACACGTCAGGATCCGCAGGTCCCACGGCCAAACCTTGTCGTGGAAAGACCCCTGGGCGCCTCCTTTGCCAGGTCTCCACGGGCCTAATTTTCCGGCATCTTCCGCGTGCCGGGGTCCACCTTGTCTGCTCCGAGCTCACTGCCTGCTGGGGAGGTGGGGCTGGACGCACGTCCGAGGAGCTCGGGGTCTTGAGGACGGGCGGCTGGGCCGGGACGCGACGCCAGGACGGCCTAGAAGGGCCTCGTCTGCAGAGGGGCTCCGAGCTCTGAAGGGGCTTTGGAACTGTGAGCACGTAAATAATTGGAAAAGTTGGAAAATTTTGACCAGACGAAAAAGCGAAAAAACGTCCCCGGTCAGCTGACTCCGGAGACAATTACCGAGACTCTTTCGGGTCAGTCCGTAAGGGTTTGTTTCATGCACGTATCCTAATTTCAATCTCGTCACAAAAATGGAATCACATTCTGCACGGTTTTGTCACGCTTAAGGGGTCGTGAACATCTCTCTTTGTCAGTAAATCTCTTCAGCAGTTTGTTGTGTCCGTTTCTCTGGAGTCGCCGTGACAAATTAGTTTCCTACCATAGCTGTTCGCATTTTTTTAGGATGAACAACATTTTGATGACATGACCATCCCGGTACCTTCTTCTTTGAATCCTTGTCTGTTTTTTTTAACATAAATTCTTTGACGTGGATTGAAGGGTAGAGAAAGTTTAAAAAATCCTCTTTTGGGGGCCAGCCTGGTGGTGCAGCGGTTAAGTTTGCACGTTCTGCTTTGGCGGCCCAGGGTTCGCCGGTTCAGAACCCGGGTGCGGACATGGCACCACTTGGCACGCCATGCTGTGGTAGGCGTCCCACATAGAAAGTGGAGGAAGATGGGCACAGATGTTAGCTCAGGGCCAGTCTTCCTCAGCAGAAAGAGGAAGGTTGGCAGCAGATGTTAGCTCAGGGCTAATCTTCCTCAAAAAAATAAAAAATAAAAAATAAATAAATTCTCTCTTTTTTTTTTTTGGCACACCATAATTCTTCATTAGATCAGCCGAGCACACTTTGATAACAGCCCTTATACACAATCTGAAGGACACACAAGTGTGTAAAACCAAAAAGGGAAGTCTGTGTCCCCTCTCCGTCCCCCCCACCCCCAGTGACCATTGATTGTGGTCTGGGGTGACCCTTCCAGGCCACCGTCTGGTGTTAGCGTGTGTCTCACACGTAACCACACGTGAAACACGCACCGTAGGTCCGTGGGAGCATCAGTCTGATTGTCGCCCAGCGCTCCCTCGGGCGTGGGGGCTGAGTCATTCTGTCCACCTGTCCCCTCCTCACCAAGGTCACTTTGGAGGTTTCTAGTTTTGTGATGTGACCTCATTTCAGGGAACATTGAAGGCAGCGTCCACGTAGGATGGGTCCTGGCAACAGAAGAGCTGGGCCAGGGAGAGTGGACTGTGAAGTCTCAACAGGTGTGGGTGTGTGACTTTTTTTTTTTTTTTTTTGGTGAGGAAGATTGGCCCTGAGCTAACATCTGTGCCAATTGTCGTCTCTTTTATGTGGGACACCACCACAGCGTGGCTTGATGAATGGTGTGTAGATCTGTGCTCAGGATCCAAACCCGGGAGCCCTGGACCACTGAAACAGAGCACGCAAACTTAACCACTGCACCGCCAGGCCCGCCCCCTGGGCACATGTTTTTTTTTTTTTTTTTTTTTTAAAGATTTTATTTTTTGCTTTTTCTCCCCAAAGCCCTCCGGTACATAGTTGTGTATTCTTCTTTGTGGGTCCTTCTAGTTGTGGCATGTGGGACGCTGCCTCAGCGTGGTTTGATGAGCAGTGCCATGTCCGCGCCCAGGATTCGAACTAACGAAACACTGGGCCGCCTGCAGCGGAGCGCGCGAACTTAACCACTCGGCCACGGGGCCAGCCCCTGGGCACATGTATTTTTAAAGGCTTCTGATAGTTGTGCTGGCCGGTCACCTGGGAGGCTGCAGGGGCGTCTGGATGATTTCAGTTTAGGTGGAAGTCCCTCCCTCGCCCACAGCATGCAGCCGGTTCGGGAGGTCCCCAAGTCTGGCACTGTGGCAGCCTCCTCTGAGGCGCAGGGTGGCCGGAGCGCCCATGGTCCAGGCTGCATCCGCGATGGAGGCACATGGGGCCGGGCGGGGGTGGCCAGTTCCCCGTCTTGGGCCACCCTGTGACGCCCGCTCCCTGGGGCAGGCGGCCTCGCCTCGTCCCCCATTCTCCCTGCTCCTGGCGGGCGCTCTGCGTGCATCTGGCTGGATCCGCGAGGGCGACGTGCACAGGACACCCGGTCACACGCCCGTCTCCGCTCGGCTTCCCCGCGCCCGAGCGCCCTGGCTGTGCTGGTTCTGGTGTACGTTGGAGGAGAGAAGGTGTCGTTTCTCTGATTCCTGGTGAGGCCGCGTGTTTTCGCAGACCGCTGCCTCGGACCCTTCTGCTCAGAGACAAGGGTTCAGGCTCGGAATTAAAAATGCTTTTCAGCCAAGTCCACCCAGAGGTCCGACGGGGGCGCGCGGTGTCCTGCCCTGGTGAGGGTGGAGGTGATAGACCCCCAAAGATACCCGCAGCCCAACCCCTGGAGCCTGGGAGTGTCACCTTATGTGGCACGAGGGGGCTTCGCAGACGGGAAGAACTTAGGGTCTCGTCATGGGGAGAGAAGCTGGAGGCGCAGGAAGGACCCTTCTCAGGAGCCCGTGAGGCCGTGGCCCAGCCCACACCCCGTTTCCACCTGCTGATCCTGATCTTTTTACACTTCCGGCCCCCAAAACTGTGAGAAAATAAACTTCTGTGGCTTTAAGACCTCGGAACGGAGGTGTCCACCTGGCAGCCGTGTCCTCAGTCCCCAGGCAGAACCAGGTGACTCCAGTTTTCTATCTGCTTGAACCTGAATGTAAACGTCAGTTTCAAACGTAACAGTTTGATTCCGGTCTCTGAGTGGGTGGTGCATTCGCATGGATCAAAACAGAAAAGGTGCCTGGGCTCCAGAGTGGATGGCCGGCTGTCTGGAGTCGGCCCCAGGGCCTTGGCTCGTCCCTGGGCACCCCGTGGTTCCCTTTCTGCAGACAGACTCTCCTGGCCCTGAGGCCGGAGGTACCCTGTCCCTGGCCAGTGGCCACACAGGCCGCCGTCCATTCTTCACCCATTTTCAGGTCCTCAGGGAGGGGTAGTGACTGACCGGGCCTGGGTCTGGGGGGCCCTCCTGACTCACACTTTGGTGCCAGCTCTGGGCAGGCAGACGCTGTGGGCACACAGCCCAGGGCGGATTTCGGCACCAGGCCCCGTGAGCATCTGTACGTGCACAGGTCCTGGTCCCATTGTTCGTAGCCGGGAGGCAGGTCGCTCGCCCGGGAGGCAGTTCCTGGGGGACGATTTGGGCAGTCACCCCAAAAGCCAGCCACCCTGCTTGGAAGATTAATTTTGTTCTCTGGGCCCCGGTTTCCTGGTCTGTCCAGCGGGCGCACCGTCTGCATTCGGCTCTTCTGGAAACGGCTGCAGGCCTGGAACTCGCCGTGTGGCTGGCTCATCCTTGTCCCTCACGGCAGCGCGATGACAGGCACCCGGGTGTGAACTGTTTCTCGCTCAAGTGTCCCTGGTGCGGCGGCTCCAGCACGGCTTTGCGGCCGACGGCGGCTTGGGCTCGGGCACCCCGCCGGCCGCAACGAGGTCGGTGGGGCTGAGCGGTGATCCGGTCCCAGGCCTGGGCGAGGTGACAGGAGACAGGCCTGTGTCAGCATCAGCCCTGTGCCGGCCCCGCCCGGGCACTTGTTCTCGTTAGAAATCCATGATCGATTTTATTTGACTGGATGCTGGGCACAGAGGGGAGGAGAAAACCAGGGCGGCTGGCCTCCCGGGGAGGAGGTGTCGGTCAAGTGAACACGTGAATATTCAGAGGTGGTGTCCCGGGGGGGCCCTCAGGAGAGGCCTGTGCTTTGTAAGATGGGGTGACCTGCCCCAGGGTGCGCAGAAGGTGGTGACGGTGGGGAGCCGGCAAGGCCCTGGGCCGGGCAGCATCGTGACCTGGCAGGGGCTGCACTGGTCAGGGTAGTGGGGTCCGTGGGGGGTGCTGGGGTGACAGGGAGCACGTCGGGGCCGGAGAGGAGGGGGAAACAGACTTCTCGGAATTGCTCTGGGATTTGCTTAAGTGTTTTCTCGTTTCTGAGGGCTCTGGTGCCCCTTTGGCGTCACACTTCCCTGTCTGTCCGGTTCCTTCCTGTCTCCGCAGCCGAGCGAGAGGCAGCCCCGGGTCTGAGGCACCCCTTTGTGCACTTCTGCAGACCCTCGAGGCTGTTGGAGGAGCTGGGGCGTCCGTGTGCACCGAGGCCCGGCCGTCACTGCCTCCGTCCAGGATGCCACGTGTCACGTCCACAGATGTGCAGAGGCCAGAACCGTCACCTGGGCTGGCCTGGCCGCAGGGGGACTGTGCTGGGAAGGGGGCTATGAAATGGGGTTTCGTGAAGTCGTGTGCTGCCTCAATACGGCGCCTCGGTGCCCGTTTACATGCAAACCCTGAAATGCAATGCCCAGACCTGCCCCACCGCCTTTTCCCTTTTTTGTTCCAATTGTGGCAAATATACAGAACGTACAGGGTGCCTCTGGAGCCGTTTGTCAGCGTGTCGTTCAGCGGCATTGAGCACATTCACCGTGTTGTGCGACCATCACCACTCTTTATTTCCAAAAATTTCCATCACCCTCAACAGAAACCCCAAACCTGTGAAGCGGTCGCTCTGCATCCCCCCCACCCCAGCCCCTGGTTCCCTCTAATCTGCTTCCTGTCTCTGTGGATTTGCCTGTTGTACAGATTTCATACACGGGGACTCACACAGTATTAGACCTTTGTGAACGGCTTGTTT